TTGCTGTTTTATTGTATTTTGATATTTTTATTATACAGTGATACCTTGGTTTACGAACTTAATCCGTTCTGGAAGTCCGTTCTTAAACCAAAGTGTGTTTTTCCATAGCAGCAGGGGACTCAATTTACAAATGGAGCAGACTTAACAAGAAGTGAAACATGTTCTGCTTCCAAGGCAAAATTCACAAACCAAAACACCTACTTCCGAGTTTGCAGCATTCTTAATCCAAGTTGTTCATAAACTAAGCTGTTCTTAAACCAAGGTACCACTGCATTTGTATTATTGCTGCTAGCTGACTGGATTGCCATTTGCCAGAAACACAGGGAATAAGTGTAACAAAGAAAGAAAGACATAGCAGTAGTTAAGAAACTGATGAGAACCATGCAGTGCTGGATTACCAAATAGACTGAGTAGGCACTGGCCTATGGGCCCCACACCTTTTAGGGGCCCCATGACACAACAGATCAAAATAATATTGATTTGATCTTGAAAGAAAATTACAACCAAGCTTTCTTAGTTTAATGTTATCCCACTAAAGCACACACACACACACACAAGCCCCCCCCCAAGTTTGAGACTGCCTAGGGGCCTCCGAAAGGGTTTAATCCAGTCCCCAGTTCAATTCTAAGGCTGCATACACACTATACCTTTAAACCATAATCAAAGCACATTTTTCCCCTCTCAGAATTCTGAGGAATGCCTTTTGTTAAGGGTTGCTAGGAATTGTAACTGTGAGAGGTAAACTATAATGTCCAGAATTCTTTGAGAGAAATAATGTTATTTAATTGTGCTTTAAAGGTATAATGTGAACACATATCACAAATTTTCCAGGTGTCTCCACCCATTCAGACACTCTACCACCCATACGCAGTATGTAAATAATAATACTGACTGACCTGACTAACAGAGTTGCTGTAAGATTAGAGAGATAATGTACTGAAAGCACTTTAAAACCTCAGAAAGTGCTATGCATCTTCTCTGTCTATAACAAAATAACTTCACACCCCTTCTTACTAGCTAAATTCATAATTGCTTGATTACAAAGAAGTATATTATAGCCAATTGCGGTTTCAGAAATAAAGTTTTTACCATATACTTACGCATTACAATTCTCTCTACAGCTATTGTTTCGTTTGCGTAGGCTAGCAATTGCCTCCTTGTTCTTGTTAATTTCTTCTTGTAGCTGACAGATCTCAATCTTTTTCCCTGCAGTATTTGCAGAATATACTGAAAGAAAATGTTTATTTCATGTTTGATGGAATTTAAGATAGGTCACTGGGATACAAACTATACAACTGGAACCACCCAATATGTTCCAAGGTTAGAGCTATAGAGCAGAATTTACCTAACAGTCTCATCAGCAGAAGCTGTGCACAAAGATTTGCTTACACAACAAGACCTGCCCTCCTCTGCTCCCCACACACTCTCCCGAAATTAGTTTGGATTTGGGGGAGAGGGTATAATTCCAACCAGCAAGGTGAAATGCTTGCACAGATAGAATGTTTGAAAGAGCATGATGCTAAATTCCACCCAGAATGTTGATCCAGCACCTTCTTATGCAGGCATAGGCAACCGTGGCCCTCCAAATGTTTTGGTACTACAATTCCCATTATCCCTAGCTAACAGGACCAGTGGTCAGGGATGATGGGAATTGTAGTCCCAAAACATCTGGAGGGCTGAGGTTGCCTATGCCTGTTCTTATGGATACTGGAGGTCTACTATGCATCTGGAGCTCCCCTGCTTACTAGGGCTGCTACATTTGTTTCAATAAGGCAGCAGGTCCTTGTGCATGGTGGTTTTTGTTTGTGTATGGGGTTTTTTGTTAGACACACCTTTGGATAGACACCACAAGTTGTGAATCATAACCAATTCTCTGACCAAGAGTACAACTTCTCTACAATGAGGACCAGTTTCCATTACAATCCATCAAGGATAAGAGGAATGTTTCTTTCAAGGAAAGGCAAAGGGCATGCAAAAGTATATATGAGAGTTTAAATTGCAACAAATGCAAGATTCTGACAAACTTTATGTATTAAAGTCTACTCACTCTGTATCTGTTGCCTCAAATGTTCCTTGGAGTAAGATGCTTGCTGCAGCTGAAACACTGTAGCAGAAACATATAGATGAATATCATTGCCTTCAGATATTACAGTAAGTGTGAGAACTAATTTGCATTTTAAAACAGTAACTTAGTCACTTGAATACTAGATTTTATTTCAGTGCTAGGTGTATTCAAGCTGTTTGCCTATGGCTTGCCTATATTAAACTATACCCTATCAGCTGCTTCCCCTCCTTCCGCATCCCAAAGCTGCTTTTCCTGCATTTCAGATGCATTTGCCTTATAAAACATCCATCCAAACCTGTACAAAGCAGAAAACTGCTGATGGGGAAAGGAGAGGAAGAATTAAACCATTCCCACCATTCTTTGCTATTAATTCTCCTCTCTCAAATTTGCTTAGAAGTGACTGTTAGGACCTTATAACATGTAGTTTGGCGTCGAGTGTAATTCTTATCTTAACCCAGTAACACAGATCCTATGGGACTCAAGCTACATTAGTACTGTAAAGAAAAGTGTTTTAAATGTGTTATTAACACTGTGAGGCTAACAATATATGCAGATAATCAAAAACTATAGATAACTGAAGGTCAGAAACTGGCTGGTGCAGAATTCAGTGGCCAGATTGTTCACTGCGGCAAGATGGTTTGAGTATATATTCCAATCCTTGACCGACTGCACTGGCTGCCATATTAGTTTCCAGGTTCAATTCAAAGTGATAGTTTTAACAATAAAGTTTTACGGCTCAGAACTGCAATACTCAAGGACTGCCGCTCCCCATATGAACCGACCCAGACCCTGTGATCATCATCAGAGGCCCTTCTTCATGTGCTTCCTCCATGAGAGGTCCAGAGGGTGGCAACACAAGAACATGCATCTCCTGTGGTGGCTCCCCATTTGTGGAACACTCTCCTCAGGGAGGCCTCATCTGGCATCTTTGTTATATCTTTAGGTGCCAGGCTAAAACATTCCTGTTCTCCCAAGTCTTTGGCAGTTAAACTATATATGCCTTTTAAATTGGGGGTACTGTTTTTGTTTATTATGGTATGTATTTGTTGTTATATTGTGAACTGCCCTGTGATCTTCAGATGAAGAGCAGTATAGAAATTAAATAAATAATAAACAATGACAATAATATCAGGTGGATTGAAGGGCAACCGTTGATCTGGGCACCCTTAAAGAAAAATAATCCCAACTCACTGCAATCTGTTGAATTAACTTTTAGATCCCTTCCAAACTCTGTTTTATTTCTGTGGATGAATTCAAAGCATTTTGGCTTTTCTTATAGAATGTTTCCCCCTCTCCTCCTGTCATGTGCCATTCTAGTAGTTCTCCCGCGCAAAACACCCAGACCCCATTTTGTGGGGTGCACAAGAAAGAAAGGGTAAGAACCTCATTGCACAAGCAGAAGGCCTTGCACCGGGCTTCCACAGATGGAATTCATTAAGTGAATTCCACCATGTTATCTTTTATTTCAGTTGGGATAACTGGCATTATAGAAACTATTTTTTTTTACCTCGAAGCTCTATCACTTCAGCTTCTTTCTTTTTAAGTAGCTCAGACTGCTTCAGAACTCGGTTTTGGATTTCTTCAAATTCATTTTTTTTCCTGGTGATATTCCTGAGCAATGGCAGTTGCTAAATATTTTTCTTGGTGCTGTTTAAAAGTCTCTTGATACTGAGTTGTGTAATCCTGGTACATTTTCCTTTTAAAACAAGGAAATACAATCACCGCCTTAGACACCACTTAACTATCTTTTCAAAGCAAGGCCAGTACTTGAGACAATTGCTCAGTTCAACACAGGGGAAATTTGAAAAAAAATGTGTTGCCTTAACTGAACTAACACCTAGTTGGGAATATGAGAAACCACCTGTATTTTCTATAACTTTTCAGTGATAGGATGCAGTCAGCAATTGCCATTGAAGTGGTGGTGTACCCCAAAATATAATTCTCCATTAAAGAGTAGATCCTTATCTTCCTGAGTGTTCACATTTTTATAGGTAAGAAATTCATTGCTTATAATCAGCAATATTTATATGGAGGTCTTAATATACAGCTGTCAAACATTTCTACATACTTGTCTTTTTCTGTTGATTCCTGGTAATTCTGAAGTTCCTTCTGCAAATATTCTTCATGCTGACTAAGAATCATGTATGTTGGTTTCCAGCTAAGGCAACAAATTTAAAACTACAGTAAGCATCTAATTATTAAAAGCATAGTTTAATTATATTCATAAGTAACAAAACCATCATAAAAATGGTGTAATTCCCACCAGCACCTTTCTATTTACACTCTCCTTCTTGCTACCAGAGAAGATAATGTGATGATGTCCTCTGAGAAACAGGAACCTGGGATATACTTTTGGCTCACAGTCACCTTTGTGAGCCTAAGCTAAAACTTCTGTGCTTTTCTCATTGATTTCAATTGCATGTAGCTTGTATCCAGTGCAAGGTTCAGTACTAACATGTGTACCAACTTTTCATATCACAAAATATTCACACTCAAAAATACTCATTAATTCAATAAAACTAACTGGAACCCAGAAAACCTTCTCAGTTGTTGCTCTCAGACTCCAGAACTCCTTGCCAAGGGAGGCCCAGTTATCCCTGTCTCTGATGACTTTCCACTGGTTGGCAAATGCATTTTTATTAATACAGTACAGTCCTTTGACCCATATGTTGATTGGTAAGTAAGTTGTGATTGGCTCTAAATGGTTTTTTATGTTTTTCATTTGTATTTTATTGCTGTTTTATTGTATTTTGATATTTTTTATTATACAGTGATACTTGGTTTACGAACTTAATCCGTTCTGGAAGTCCGTTCTTAACCAAAGTGTGTTTTTCCATAGCAGCAGGGATCAATTTACAAATGGAGCAGACTTAACAAGAAGTGAAACATGTTCTGTAATGCATGTAGCAGGCCACATTGTGAACAGATGCAGGATTTTAGGTGTCTGAAGGGGAGGTATGCTAGGTGGCTTTTAATTTCAACTCTGGCAAGAGGGAAAGGGTTCTTTTGAATTGCTATAGGTATGTGTGTGACTGAAATGAGGGTGTTTATGCTGCTTGTGACTGTGTGAATATGACATGGCAATGTGGCCTTTCTTTTACATTGATTGAAGAGAGAGAAAGAGAAAGAAACCAGAACACTGAGCAGTGAAATGGTTCAAATCTCTGCTCAGCCATGAACTCTGTGGGTAGCCTTAGGCAAGCCACTATTTCTGAGCTACTGCCCCAAATCTGCAATAGGGGACAATAAGGGTGACCTACATACTCAAAAGATAAAGGAAAAAGAATTGTAGCTGGAGCTATTAGTGTCTTCAAGAAAATGTAGTGTAAAGTTTTCCTGGCAACAACAAAGAATTTTTATTGACATTTATATATTACCTCTCAGTTCCTTTATTTAACTTCTAATCAGTCAACCACTATGTAGCTGGGTCTTCAGTCTCTCCCCCCACCCCACCCCCATAAGTCTGCTGTTACCTGTCAGATTCTAAAATCCTGTCAGGCGCTTAACATAGGATGAAGATATTTCTTTTAAATTTGTGGGAGTTGGGAGGCAGTGGGGCTCTGTTGAGAGGTGGACTGGTGGAGAGCATCAGGAACAAGGAACTGCATCAGGATGGAGGTCACGATTTGCTAGATCTGAGTGAAATGCGAGACCTTGGGTGATTATGTTATCTGATGTGTGGGTTGGGTATCATCCACAGTGCTTCAGAGGAAATGAGGAAATCTCATTTTGTTGTCTTAAAATAGTAAGAACACAATAATTACCAACTACAGAATAGAGCTTGAAATAATGTAATATATCTTTATCAACTGTGAGTGATGTAGTAGTGTTTTAGCAGATGGTAACATAGCATGGAATTTAAAAGGCATTTTACCTGTTTGAAATAATTAATTTTCCTTTGTAGTTCTTCTGCTGTTTTTTCTAGTTCAAGTGATTGCTGCCTGAGAACCACTGCATGCGTAAGAATTTCTTTTGTGTTGTGCCTCAAAGAAGCACTTTCTTATGTTAAGGAATCAATAAAACATACACAACAAACAGTCAAAGTAAAATGCTAAATGGAAACACATTTTAGTGTGCTCACTTGGATTTAAGCCTTTGAAATAAATGAACTTATTCACACTTACACTGTTTAACTTGGGTAACTTTTAATCTCAACCCAGATTCAGCCACATTTGGGCTGAACATGTTGTCTGAATCATTTGCTATTAACCCAGACAGAAATGTGCTGGAATCCACATTTGGATGATAAACAGTGGCATGCCATGCAATATTTAGGGCTTAATGTTCAGATAAACCACTTATCACAGCCTTTGTTCATGCCTGATGGAGGGGACAGTTGTCATATCACAACTGTGCTGGTTGTGTGAAATGAGTTTTAGTATTTCAACTGAACTGAACTGAAGGATTGAGCTTTCAGTGTGTTCCTGTGGCTAAAGAACTGGATATGAACAACATGTAAATCCTTAGATTTATTACATTGCTTTGGGCAAGCTGAGCCTCTGCTCTGCTTCCGAAAATCTGAAACAATGTTAAGAACGCTATTGCAAGAATTAAGACCATTCTGAATAACAACTAGCACAAAAGGCCTTTGTGTATTCAATCTATAAACATCATACTTATCCCATTTTTATCCCACCCTATCCTGAAGATTCATGGTGAATTATATATGACAAAAATGTACCAGTAATAAATGCACAGAACTTTTAGCATTTATTGTAAATAATTTAGAACAAATCTTTACTTGTGAATAGCAAAAAGAGCAGTAAATAGGGCAGTTCTAAACCAAAGTTAAACTAATATTTCTTCCTTGCTCATGACTTGTTGATTACAGTAGCTACATGGCCTGAACTATAGGATTTGTTCTTACCCCTCTACGTCAATTACAGTTCAATAGATTTCTTTAAGAGCTGGAAGACGATGTAGATTCCTGTGTATTTCAACATCTTTCAGCAATTATAAAGTCAGTAACAAAGACAAGAAAAACCACAGCACAACTCTTAAACAGACAATTTTTAAGCTGAGTATATGGATACATCTGTAATGCCCACTGCGAAAGTGACTGGAATGGACCAGGTTCTGGAGGAAGGAAAGTTGTTAATGAATTAATCTCATTTTTATGCATTTTGGGTAAAAACTGGTCACAAAGGTTTTTAAAAACAGCTTTTCATTCCAGATTGTGCTATATCATGTTCTCACCATGTTAATCTGCACAATGGATCCGGTTTTGGATCCATTGCTGTTGCTTGAGGCTCAGGTGGCCTCGGTGGCACAAATCTGGTCAATGATAGCCTAACGTCTGTCGTCTATGCTCTTGTAACCTCTAGGTTAGATTACTGAAACGTGTTACACATGAGGCTGCCTCTGAATGGTTCAGAAACTGGCTGGTGCAGAATTCAGTGGCCAGATTGTTCACTGCGGCAAGATGGTTTGAGTATATATTCCAATCCTTGACCGACTGCACTGGCTGCCAATTAGTTTCCAGGTTCAATTCAAAGTGATAGTTTTAACAATAAAGTTTTACGGCTCAGAACTGCAATACCTCAAGGACTGCCGCTCCCCATATGAACCGACCCAGACCCTGTGATCATCATCAGAGGCCCTTCTTCATGTGCTTCCTCCATGAGAGGTCCAGAGGGTGGCAACACAAGAACATGCATCTCCTGTGGTGGCTCCCCATTTGTGGAACACTCTCCTCAGGGAGGCTCATCTGGCATCTTTGTTATATCTTTAGGTGCCAGGCTAAAACATTCCTGTTCTCCCAAGTCTTTGGCTAGTTAAACTATATATGCCTTTTAAATTGGGGGTACTGTTTTTGTTTATTATGGTATGTATTTGTTGTTATATTGTGAACTGCCCTGTGATCTTCAGATGAAGAGCAGTATAGAAATTAAATAAATAATAAACAATGACAATAATATCAGGTGGATTGAAGGGCAACCGTTGATCTGGGCATACCCTTAAAGAAAAATAATCCCAACTCACTGCAATCTGTTGAATTAACTTTTAGATCCCTTCCAAACTCTGTTTTATTTCTGTGGATGAATTCAAAGCATTTTGGCTTTTCTTATAGAATGTTTCCCCCTCTCCTCCTGTCATGTGCCATTCTAGTAGTTCTCCCCGCAAAACACCCAGACCCCATTTTGTGGGGGTGCACAAGAAAGAAAGGGTAAGAACCTCATTGCACAAGCAGAAGGCCTTGCACCGGGCTTCCACAGATGGAATTCATTAAGTGAATTCCACCATGTATCTTTTATTTCAGTTGGGATAACTGGCATTATAGAAACTATGTTTTTACCTCGAAGCTCTATCACTTCAGCTTCTTTCTTTTTAAGTAGCTCAGACTGCTTCAGAACTCGGTTTTGGATTTCTTCAAATTCATTTTTTTCCTGGTGATATTCCTGAGCAATGGCAGTTGCTAAATATTTTTCTTGGTGCTGTTTAAAAGTCTCTTGATACTGAGTTGTGTAATCCTGGTACATTTTCCTTTTAAAACAAGGAAATACAATCACCCGCCTTAGACACCACTTAACTATCTTTTCAAAGCAAGGCCAGTACTTGAGACAATTGCTCAGTTCAACACAGGGGAAATTTGAAAAAAAATGTGTTGCCTTAACTGAACTACAACCTAGTTGGGAATATGAGAAACCACCTGTATTTTTCTATTACTTTTCAGTGATAGGATGCAGTCAGCAATTGCCATTGAAGTGGTGGTGTACCCCAAAATATAATTCTCCATTAAAGAGTAGATCCTTATCTTCCTGAGTGTTCACATTTTTATAGGTAAGAAATTCATTGCTTATAATCAGCAATATTTTATGGAGGTCTTAATATACAGCTGTCAAACATTTCTACATACTTGTCTTTTTCTGTTGATTCCTGGTAATTCTGAAGTTCCTTCTGCAAATATTCTTCATGCTGACTAAGAATCATGTATGTTGGTTTCCAGCTAAGGCAACAAATTTAAAACTACAGTAAGCATCTAATTATTAAAAGCATAGTTTAATTATATTCATAAGTAACAAAACCATCATAAAAATGGGTAATTCCCACCAGCACCTTTCTATTTACACTCTCCCTTCTTGCTACCAGAAGATAATGTGATGATGTCCTCTGAGAAACAGGAACCTGGGATATACTTTTGGCTCACAGTCACCTTTGTGAGCCTAAGCTAAAACTTCTGTGCTTTTCTCATTGATTTCAATTGCATGTAGCTTGTATCCAGTGCAAGGTTCAGTACTAACATGTGTACCAACTTTTCATATCACAAAATATTCACACTCAAAAATACTCATTAATTCAATAAAACTAACTGGAACCCAGAAAACCTTCTCAGTTGTTGCTCTCAGACTCCAGAACTCCTTGCCAAGGGAGGCCCAGTTATCCCTGTCTCTGATGACTTTCCACTGGTTGGCAAATGCATTTTTATTAATACAGTACAGTCCTTTGACCCATATGTTGATTGGTAAGTAAGTTGTGATTGGCTCTAAATGGTTTTTTATGTTTTTCAGTTTGTATTTTATTGCTGTTTTATTGTATTTTGATATTTTTATTATACAGTGATACCTTGGTTTACGAACTTAATCCGTTCTGGAAGTCCGTTCTTAAACCAAAGTGTGTTTTTCCATAGCAGCAGGGGACTCAATTTACAAATGGAGCAGACTTAACAAGAAGTGAAACATGTTCTGCTTCCAAGGCAAAGTTCACAAACCAAAACACCTACTTCCGAGTTTGCAGCATTCTTAATCCAAGTTGTTCATAAACTAAGCTGTTCTTAAACCAAGGTACCACTGCATTTGTATTATTGCTGCTAGCTGACTGGATTGCCATTTGCCAGAAACACAGGGAATAAGTGTAACAAAGAAAGAAAGACATAGCAGTAGTTAAGAAACTGATGAGAACCATGCAGTGCTGGATTACCAAATAGACTGAGTAGGCACTGGCCTATGGGCCCCACACCTTTTAGGGGCCCCATGACACAACAGATCAAAATAATATTGATTTGATCTTGAAAGAAAATTACAACCAAGCTTTCTTAGTTTAATGTTATCCCACTAAAGCACACACACACACAAGCCCCCCCACCCAAGTTTGAGACTGCCTAGGGGCCTCCGAAAGGGTTTAATCCAGTCCCCAGTTCAATTCTAAGGCTGCATACACACTATACCTTTAAACCATAATCAAAGCACATTTTTCCTCTCACAGAATTCTGAGGAATGCCTTTTGTTAAGGGTTGCTAGGAATTGTAACTGTGAGAGGTAAACTATAATGTCCAGAATTCTTTGAGAGAAATAATGTTATTTAATTGTGCTTTAAAGGTATAATGTGAACACATATCACAAATTTTCCAGGTGTCTCCACCCATTCAGACACTCTACCACCCATACACAGTATGTAAATAATAATACTGACTGACCTGACTAACAGAGTTGCTGTAAGATTAGAGAGATAATGTACTGAAAGCACTTTAAAACCTCAGAAAGTGCTATGCATCTTCTCTGTCTATAACAAAATAACTTCACACCCCTTCTTACTAGCTAAATTCATAATTGCTTGATTACAAAGAAGTATATTATAGCCAATTGCGGTTTCAGAAATAAAGTTTTTACCATATACTTACGCATTACAATTCTCTCTACAGCTATTGTTTCGTTTGCGTAGGCTAGCAATTGCCTCCTTGTTCTTGTTAATTTCTTCTTGTAGCTGACAGATCTCAATCTTTTTCCCTGCAGTATTTGCAGAATATACTGAAAGAAAATGTTTATTTCATGTTTGATGGAATTTAAGATAGGTCACTGGGATACAAACTATACAACTGGAACCACCCAATATGTTCCAAGGTTAGAGCTATAGAGCAGAATTTACCTAACAGTCTCATCAGCAGAAGCTGTGCACAAAGATTTGCTTACACAACAAGACCTGCCCTCCTCTGCTCCCCACACACTCTCCCGAAATTAGTTTGGATTTGGGGGAGAGGGTATAATTCCAACCAGCAAGGTGAAATGCTTGCACAGATAGAATGTTTGAAAGAGCATGATGCTAAATTCCACCCAGAATGTTGATCCAGCACCTTCTTATGCAGGCATAGGCAACCGTGGCCCTCCAAATGTTTTGGTACTACAATTCCCATTATCCCTAGCTAACAGGACCAGTGGTCAGGGATGATGGGAATTGCAGTCCCAAAACATCTGGAGGGCTGAGGTTGCCTATGCCTGTTCTTATGGATACTGGAGGTCTACTATGCATCTGGAGCTCCCCTGCTTACTAGGGCTGCTACATTTGTTTCAATAAGGCAGCAGGTCCTTGTGCATGGTGGTTTTTGTTTGTGTATGGGGTTTTTTGTTAGACACACCTTTGGATAGACACCACAAGTTGTGAATCATAACCAATTCTCTGACCAAGAGTACAACTTCTCTACAATGAGGACCAGTTTCCATTACAATCCATCAAGGATAAGAGGAATGTTTCTTTCAAGGAAAGGCAAAGGGCATGCAAAAGTATATATGAGAGTTTAAATTGCAACAAATGCAAGATTCTGACAAACTTTATGTATTAAAGTCTACTCACTCTGTATCTGTTGCCTCAAATGTTCCTTGGAGTAAGATGCTTGCTGCAGCTGAAACACTGTAGCAGAAACATATAGATGAATATCATTGCCTTCAGATATTACAGTAAGTGTGAGAACTAATTTGCATTTTAAAACAGTAACTTAGTCACTTGAATACTAGATTTTATTTCAGTGCTAGGTGTATTCAAGCTGTTTGCCTTTGGCTTGCCTATATTAAACTATACCCCATCTGCTGCTTCCCCTCCTTCCACATCCCAAAGCTGCTTTTCCTGCATTTCAGATGCATTTGCCTTATAAACATCCATCCAAACCAGTGCAAAGGGGGAAACTGCTGATGGGGAAAGGGAGTTGCAAGGAGAGGAAGAATTAAACCATTCCCGCCATTCTTTGCTATTAATTCTCCTCCCTCAAATTTGCTTAGAAGTGACTTTTAGGACCTTATAACATGTAGTTTGGCGTTGAGTGTAATTCTGTCTTAACCCAGTAACACAGGGACTCAGCTACATTAGTAAAGAAAAAGTGTTTTAAACGCATTATAACACTGTGAGGCAAACAATATATGCAGATAATAAAAAACTATAGATAACTGAAGGACTCTCTGTTGCTTGTTTCCAAAGCTGAACCACACGGCAACATACCAAGCTGTAGCAGTAGTTTGTTCAGGTTGTTTAACATGACGTCAGCCATTTTGTAAACCTACATGAAGAGGGAAACAAAAAGGAAGAACATAATAAAAGCACACACTCACAATGACATACTTAATAGCCCCAGCGATACAAAATGAAAATTGGAGACAAATGAAAAGAAAACCCACCCCTTGCTGTAAAGGCCTGGGTATAGGGTAGTACAGTATATAAATTCTATTATTATTATTATTACAGGCTATGCTAGCACGGGAGATGCTTTGTAAGGCAGGGGTGAAATTTTCATGAAAAAGGAGGGAATATGAAACTAACATTAACCCTCTTGTAAAATTATCCCACTTTGTCTGAGGCAGTTGTTTCCACTAACCTGTTCGTAATGATAGCTGGAGTCTTTAACCAGCTTTTTACCATTAACAAATTTTAATGTATCTGTATAAGCATCACAAACTTTCCAGTGTTCAAAGTTACACTGCACGTTCACCAATCTTTTGCCCCTCATTAAGGTTTTCACAGGTAATGATCCTTAAATGATCAGTCAGAAGGAGGAGTGATTAGCACGACAGCGACATTTTTATCTAAATACAAAATTAAGTCAGGTGTAAAGTTTCCAGACCACATAGCATGACGGTTCTGGGTGAAATCTGCATTTCTACAAAACCCTGTTTCTTTCTTTCTTTGTTTATTAAATTTCTATATAGCCCCCTCAGCCGAAGGCCACAGGGCAGTTCATTCACTTTAAAAATACTTTCAAACCACAGCCTTCACCTCCAACGTGATTTAAGAGTGGTCTGAAAACAACAGTAATAAAAATAGATTTTAAAACCCCATTAATGACAAAAAACAACCCCCACCACAAACACTGTTTCAGAACAGATAAAAATAATCTGCGGCGTGTATGGCACCAGACCTGCTGTCCTTCGTCGAAAAACAAAACAAAACAAAACAAAACACCCCACTTCGTTTGGGAAGGGGGGTCCTGTTTATTCAATGTGGGCAGTGAGACTCACAGGGAGGCTGAGAGTCAACCTCTTAAAACGCTGTTCAGCAGAAAACAAAATGGCGCCGTCCTGGGGGGAAAAGCGCGGGAAAAGCTGAGGAGGCGGAGGAAAGGCGCGCGTTTCTGAGGCGCTTCTCGCGGTGCTTTAGCCGCCCTTTGGCTGCGGTGGTCCGCCTTAGGCGCTCGGCAGCCTGTTTCCCGCCTTTATTTAAGCCCTAACGGCAGTGGGGCGGGCGGGGGAGGGGAGCTGCGCCGCCTGAGGAGATTCGTTTGGCGGGAAGCCCTGAGGGGGTTGAGCCCGCTGCGTCCAAGAAGGCTTTGCTCCCTAGTCAGTCCCTCTGGGCGCAGTGGGGCTTTACTTACGAGTAGACATGGTTTAGGGTTGCGCGCCCTTCCTGCGGGGATTTATAACATTCTGCGGCAGATAAAATGTGGGGTTTTTAGCGTTCTCATTTTGCATTATTCTGTTGTGAAGCTCCCTGGGCTCTTTGGATAAAGGGTGGTATACAAATTTAATTGGTGGTGACGATAAATATATAAAAATAGCGACGACTGTATTCTTCTCCAAGCATAATATTTCAAAAAGTGAAAATCCAGATACAAAAGTGAGTCTTCCAGGAAATTCTGGACATATGGCAACCCCATGACCAAGCACCTTTGGGTGAAGGGCTGTATAGAAATTTAAAAAAATTATTAGAATTATAATCAACTAAAAATTAGCAACAAGAGTATTCTTCTCCAAGCACATTTGGATGGAGGGCAGTATACAAATTTAATAAATAATAATAATAATAATAATAACTATTAATAATTACTATTATTACTATTATTATTATCTATATTAATAACCATAATCTTCTCCAAGCACCTTTGGGCAGTTCCCCTGTCATGTCTCAGATTGCACGTCTGCTTGATTCCCTGCACAACCCCACAAGAAGAGTGCAATCGTAAACCATATTTGCTTGGGATTAAATAAATGCGCACATATTTTTTTTAAAAAAGATTGAAGTATTAAAGAGTACTACTACCAGCCATTTAAGTGTGTGGTTCTTGGCTGAAATGGTTCCAGCTGAAAAAAGCCCTGTATACAGTCAATATTAACAGCTATGATCCTGGAGGAAGAAGTATCCAGTTTTCCAAAGTACATAATACTGTGGTTTGACTACTGGGAAAATGCAATATCATACAGCACCAAAATTGGGAAATTAAAGGTGGTCATGAGAATAGCTCCAAAGTTTTGAATACCTGACTGAAATCAGTGGGAACAGATCTCTTTGGTTTTTTTTAATGAATCAACTCACTTTCTCTTCCTTTCTCTTTCCCCAAATACTCTTGAAGAAAAGCAATGAAGATGCTCCATCTACTGGAGAATTGATGCAGCATATCCCCAGACAATTTCAGACAGCTGCCACATATGTGCTGATGACAACACATGCACAGATGACAGCTTTGGTGAATTGAAGTTCAGTGTGGGAAAACAAATCACAGTGGCCAAGCTAGCCAAAAGACACTTGGAAGCCCCACAAGCAGGACACAGGGGCAATGACTATTTCTCACCCTTATCCAGCAATTGGTATCTAGAGGCTTGTTGCCTCTAAACCTGAAGGCTGGTACCCACTGGCAGCTACTGGTAGGCAGAGTCAGGGACCACAGTAGGTAGAGTCAATTGTTGTTTACACGTTTAGTCGTGTCTGACTCTTTGTGACCCCATGGACCAGAGCACACCAGGCACTCCTGTCTTCCACTGCCTCCCACAGTTTGGTCAAACTCATGCTGGTAGCTTCAAGATCACTATCCAACCATCTCGTCCTCTGTCGTCCCCTTCTCCTTGTGCCCTCCATCTTTCCCAACGTCAGGGTCTTTTCCAGGGAGTCTTCTCTTCTCATGAGGTGGCCAAAGTATTGGAGACTCAGCTTCAGGATCTTTCCTTCCAGTGAGCACTCAGGGCTGATTTCCTTCAAAATGGATAGGTTTGATCTTCTTGCAATCCCATGGAGAGTCCCAGGGACTCTCCAGAGTCTCCTCCAGCACCATAATTCAAAAGCATCAATTCTTTGGCGATCAGCCTTCTTTATGGTCCAGTGGAGTCAATTAATTGTGATCTTCTCCCCACCCAACTCCCTTGCAAAGACACAAAGGACTGAATACAAAGCTGCAGCCCTATGCATGTTTATATCATAGAAGTGTAGAGTTGGAAGGGACGCTGAGGCGCATCTAGTCCTACGTCCTGCAATGCAGGAATCCCGACTAGAGCATCAGATGTTGTTTCAGGGGAGTGCAGCCAGTTTGGTCACACTGGGCATAGAGCCTTGGGGGTGCTGCTGGGGACGCCACAACTATGATTTACAATGGAGCATGAGAGGTGTAAGAGAGCCGAATTTTAGTGTCATACAGGGCACCAGTGAAATTTGGGGTCCCAAGATCTGCCACTGAAAGCATCCATGACAGATGGCCATCCAACATCTGCTTAAAAGCTTCCAATGAAGGAGAGTCTGCCACCTTCTAAGGCAGTGGTGTCCAAACTTTTTTCAAAGAGGGCTAGATTTGATGAAGTGAAGCGCCGTGTTGTTGACCTTTTTTTATAGGATTGAAGAGTTGTTGTGCTTTTTTTAGGGTTGGAGTTGAGCTTCTTTTAGGATTGAACTAGTTGAGGGGTTTTTTAGGATTTTACCCCAGGAAATAAACTGCCATGGGGACTGGATTAAACCAACCGGCAGGCCGGATTAGGCCCCCGAAACGGACTTTGGACATGCCTGTTCTAAGGGAGTCTGGTCCACTGTCGAACATCTCTTACCATCAGAAAGTTCTTCTTGTTTAGTTGGAATCTCCTTTCTTGTAACTTGAATCTATTTGTAGTGAATGGTAGTAAGCCTCATTGAACTCAGTAGGATGTACTTCTAAATAGATCACAGCACCTCAAGGCATTTTATTGACTCAAGGGCTGTTGTACCACATTCTTTGCCAGACATGGAAGCAACTGCTGGGTCATGTGTGAGCCGTGCAGCACTTTAAAATTGAGTACAGTTGTTACTGTCATAATTCTATCCCCAAAGTATTCTGTGTCATTATAAGGGATCCCAGGGTCCACCCCTTAGATTCCATGCAGCTTCACCGCAACACATACATTTTCCTGCCCCAAGCAACCTCATGAGTTGCTTGCCCAATTGAACTGGCAGAGAGAACAAACAGGAAGAGCATCATGGGTGCACATGTTTGGAGAAGCAGATTGTTTAATGAGAAAGAGGGAAGTAAAATGTGGTAGTCTAAAGCTGATGGTCAGGCAGGAGATGAAGGAAAGATGCAGCAACTGGAGGAGGAGGAGGAGAAAGCACACTGGAAGTGAGATATGGGCAGATGCAATGAATTAATTCTGCTCAAAATGTAGCCTATTGTCAGTCACAGACAGGATATGTTGCCTGGGGAAATGAAAACTCACGCATCAAGAAATGCAGGAGGAGCATGGAGGAAGCACTGACTAAACTGACCTTAGGTTGAAAACACAAAGAGACAGAAAATGAATCAGACCAACATAATTGCATAAAAAGAGAGGTTTATTTATAATATATACAGTATGTTTTAATACACAGTTGCTCAAATTTGGCATTGAAAAACACCACTGAATATACTGTTATATAGGCATCAGCCTCTTCATCTGTGCTACGATCTCTTCGTTTTATTCTGATTTGCTTATGGCATCGTTGTCTGTTTACAGTATTCTGTCACCACCTCACCACCCTCCCTGCTGCAGTTTAAGGCACTTGTTAATGTCTTTCTGTCACCAAGCTTCTTGTTTCATGAATGTCTCACAAATGAATCGTGCATATCCAGCCTGAGGCTGCAATCCACACACTTCCCTAGGAGTAAACCCCATTGTAGTGGGACTTACTCCAGAGTATACATGAATAGGCTTACATTGCAGAACTCCTTTTGCTGCTCTCATCCATACTCGATCAGAGGAAACAGGTGTACATTTCTTAACTGTCCCTAAGCCAGGCATGTCCAAAGTACGTTTCGGGGGCCTAATCTGCCAGTTGGTTTAATCTGGCCCCTGTGGCAGTTTATTTCCTGGGGTAAAATCATAAAAAAAGCTCAACAACTTCATAGAAACATCGCCACCTGTACCCGCCCCACTCACCTTTTCCCCATCCACCTCTTTCTCCCTTTTTCTTCCTAATGTAACACTAATGTCTCAACAAATGAAACTGATCTGTAAAAATGTAACTGGGGGGGGGGGGAGACATTGCTCATACTTTTGTAAACCAAGAAAATCTTTAATAATAATAATAATACAGTAATAATAAAAGATCAACAACTTGGGTTGGCCCTTTGGTCAGCCCTCACGGCCCTTCACTTCATCAAATCTGGCCCTCTGTGAAAAAAGTGTGGACACCACTGCCCTAAGCCTTACACACAAGCAGTTTTGTGTTTGTTTTTTAACATCTGAGCAATTGGAATGCTGATGAACATCCTGTAACACTTCAAGAGCTGAGCTAGTGCAATAGATGAACATAGTAATAGAATCATAGAGTCTTAGAGTTGAAAGGGACCTGAGGGTCACCTAGCCCAACCTCATGCAATGCAGGAATCTCAGCTAAAGCATCCTTGACAGATGACCATCCAACCTCTGCTTTAAAACCTCCAAGGAAGGAGACCATTCCATTGTCAACAGCTCTTACTGTCAAAAAGGTTAGTTTCTATTCAGTCAAGGAAGAACGCTTGCAGTTGATTGCTATGGAGATTTTAAAAAAACAGAATCCTATGTTTACCTCAGTCCCCCACCCCTCCCGTTTTCTTTACTCGTATGTATCTGATTGCATCCGTTTGGCAAAAAATACTATTTTCCTTGAAGAAGGATAGCATTCAGTGCTTTAATTGATAGTTCATTCATCTCCCCTCAACTATAGTAAGTGCCCTAAAACATTATTGAAAGCTGGCTTTGACAGTGTGGATAAATTCACGGATAAGAACTTATACAATTGTTACCCAGCAAGATAAGTTGATGGTTACTCTGACAATGGAACATCAATAGCATAGCTATGAACGGGGGGCGGGCAGGCGGGGTGTGTGTGTTTGGAATCCCAGACAGAGAAGCTGATAATTGCCATCCAAGGTCAGATATGAATTACAAGTAATATACAGCAAATTCATTACTGGAACTACTTACGATGATGACAATGCCATAAATGTTGTTAACAAAGAGGACCAATTGATTGCTCCATCATGAAGTGCCTTAAGTTGTCAAATACTGATTACAAAGGCCCACAACTAAATAGTAGAAATGAAAATCTTTCATACGTTTGGATGAGCAATGTCATCTCTAGTATAAATATTCTCGCCATAAAAGCACATCATGAAATAATTCACTCTTATTTTATTGAGGCAAGCCAGTGATTAACAAGGAATCAGTTGTCTTCGATAATAATAATACT